CGGTGTTCTGATCTCGTCGCTGAATAATCAAGCGAATCAGACGGCCAGCCCGACTGAAGAACAAGCTCCTCATTTTTACAAGTGTATGTACACTTTTGACCACAACTGTATATGTGGACGACGATGTCATTGTGCAGGGTATGTGTTTAAAAACAGAATCTGGGTAGAGTTTAGATGTTGCTGTCTCACTGTTGATACATTTCACCATTTTAGTATCATATATAATGAGCTACTCAGTCAGACAGACAGATACATACATACATACATACATGTATGCATGGGTGGACAGACACAGATAGATCATTTTTGGTTTTATTTTTACCTCCTCAGATTTTTATGAATTCTTAAAATCTTTTCCAATATCCTGGACTGCCTATTTCAAATAAGCTATGGCAATGTCATTTGCATTTTTACAACAAAGTGCTGCACTGATTAAGTTTAAATAACGCTTTTGGCAACTGCTAGTTAAATTATTCCCCCCAAAAAATAAAAAATACTTTTGAAAACATACAAAACAAATTTCTGAAATAGTTGGAAGTAGTTGTCAGTGTTTTGCTGTATGCTTTCATTGGAGAGTCAGTGTTTGTGAAAGTTCTTTGTTGAATCAGCAACAATAATAATCTAAATGAAGAACTGCTCTTACGTTATATGATCAGCAATGTACAACTCTATGGTTATACCTTCAAATGATTATTATTTCCAGGTGACATTAAGGACCTTTACAATATAAAGCTGAAAGCAGGACATGCTGCTGCTTTTGCCTCTGACTGTGACTTACCCTCCACACATGAGATGGTGCGAAGCATTGGCATGCAGGTGCATTTCTACGGTTTTTAATGAAAACCACATTACACTGGATTGATTATGTAAATACAAATTTATATGAATTATTCAGTATTATATTTTCTGGGTTGTCGAGTGTAAGATAGATGATGGAGTTTATGTTGGTAGCTAAAGTCTGTTGTTTTCTGATCTTGTTCCTCAGACCACCTACATGGGCTTCCTAGACTACAGAAAGCAAGAAGTGAAAGACTTGGCCATCAACCCCAACCACTGCTCCTTCAACCCCGGAGTGTTTGTCGCAGAAATCAAAGAGTGGAAGAAGCAGAAGATCACCAAACAGCTGGAGAGATGGATGGAGGAGAATTTCAGGTGAATGGGAAACATTGTTTCTGCAACTGCAAAGTTAATAAAAAATCCAGTCCTACAGTGGAGACATTCTGCTCATCTCCTTTTTGTTCTAATGGAGTCTCTGGTGCAGCTGAGTTAACCAGAACCCAAACAGAGGATCATCACTGGTCAATACTAACGGGGCTGGAAGGTGCAGGGTGATGGGTTGCATGGTATTGTGAGTGCCGCCAAATTCATCAGAAACTGGGTCAGCCTCCTCTGCTGTTGGAACCACTTGGAGCAGGAGGCATGTAGAGATGAATGAACCTTCATCAGGGCAGAGAGAGTGTCTGCATAGCACAGCATGAGATTAAATAACGATATTATCTGGACAATGCTGTGACATTTGGGTAAACACTGTAATAGTTCATATATGTGGAATACTTATAGCATCTCATAACTGTGATGCTGATGCCACAGAATTATTCCTTGTCAGTCTGGTTGATCTGGAGGTAAAAATATATATGATATAATTTCAGATGTATCCAAAAGGCTTATTTACTTTAAGACATGTAGAATATTCACATTTCATATGGTATACATGTGTTTTTCTTTAGTTCACTGTATCATTTAGGCTTATTATGGATCATTTATAAATACAAAACATATATTTGGCTCTGTTAGACATTACAGAAACATCCAAGTCCTTTTCTTCTGTAAGCACAACCGATCCATTTGGAGTAGAGACAAGTAGAGATGGAGTGAACTGATGAATGGTTGAGGTTTTTTAACACAATGATGGAAACTTCTATCAACAGTTGGTGAGATGCAGCATCTACTTTAGTGCTTCTGTTTGGATATGCCTGATCAGTAACCCATCCCTCTCTCCAACAGGCAGAACATTTACAGCAGTGCTATGGCAGGAGGCGTGGCCACTCCGCCCATGCTTATAGTGTTTCATGACAAATACACAGCGCTGGATCCTCTTTGGCATGTCAGACACCTGGGTAAGATTCTAACTAACCTTTCAAACATGATAATGCCATGAGAAGAGAGAAAAACATGATCAGAAATCCAGACCAAAGCTAGTGAGCAAGCAAGTAAGAATATGCAGTTTCATGGAAGGGAGCATTTTAGTGACTAAGAATAGTTTTACACATGGTACCACCACATCAGACCTGCAGGATTTGTTTTGTCTTCAGGCTGGAGCCCCGATGCACGCTATGCAGAGAGCTTCCTGCAGGGGGCACACCTGCTGCACTGGAATGGTCCATTCAAACCATGGAATGACCCAGCCGTCCACTCGGATCTGTGGGAAAGGTGGTTCATACCTGACCCGTCTGGAAGATTCACTTTGACTCGGCCTGGCAGTGGCAGCTAAGGCCCAAAGCTGCAGTGACTGATCCACTCATTTCAAAATGTTTGACTTTTAGTCTGCTCCCACTAAAAGGCTTCCTTTGTGTTATAACTAATTGGGCTTCTTTTAACTCCTCCTCTCATTTTTGTGCTTATAAGTTTGTCTTATGTCAAAATGTGAACTTAATATGTGGAATCAGGGCCATACTTGAAAACAATCTCTGAACTATTGTTCCATAAATTATAAATCGTGAATGTAGCTTTTCAGGTGATAAGTTTGAAGTGTTAGGACTTAAGAGTTAAATAAACTCACACAAATAATTCATGGCAGAGAATGCTTTATGCATTTACATCTGTTTGATTTTATTTACGAACTCATATTGTATACACATATGCCTTTAAATTAATAAAAATAACAATCTTATCAATTCTAGAATGTCTTGAATGTAATTAGTAAGTATATACTAACAGAGTTTAAATAATTAAAGTTGTAAAAGAAACAAAATTCTGGTATTTAAATTTTATGTGATTTTTTTTTCATTGAAGTTATGAGAAGTGAAACAGGGAATCGTGTAGAATATTCATATTTCTTGTGGTGTATATACGTTTTTTTTAATTCTTAGTATTATTTAGGCTTACTAAGGATTATTTACAGATATGAAAAAAACATAGATTTGGCTGAGATAATTAATTATTTATCTGAATCAAACATAAATTTGGCTCAGATATAAAATTTTAATTTATTTTTAAAATACCCAATAAAAATCATTCAATTTTTCTTCAACTTTTTTGCCATTTCGCATGTATTTAATATGATACTGGTGAGTGGGGTTGCCAAGAGATGCCTGCATAAAAGATCTTTTTTATTGGTATTATTTATTCTTAACATTTTCTGAGACTGACTTTTGTGCTTCCTTTAGCAGAAAGCATAATCATTACAATTAATGGAAAAACCAATTGAAATTCATGATTCTGGGTGTAATGACTCAAGTTCACATTTATTTTATTTCCTGTCTTCATGGGTGAAGTGTATGCCATCTGGAAAAACTGCCTCGTAAATAACAGCAAACATTGTTTTTTTATGCCAGTTTACAGCTGAGCTCAACGGTGCTGTGTGTAAGCCCCCAAATTTACTTGGAGGTCAAATTAAAAACCTAAAGTGATGAGTATTTTAGGGATGACTGGTTCTGATGGTACTGCCAGATCATTCATGGGTTCAACCCACATACTCAACTCTACTGCTCAACACACGAATGCATTCTCCTGACAGATGTGGCAACATTTAAAGAGAAATAAGCAGTTTTTTCCAACACTGTTTGTAACAACAAAAGAACACACATTCTCTTACTTTTTGTCTTGTTTATGTTGTTAGACTGTAGACTAAACCGGGTCAATGTCATGATAAAAACGATGAGCTGATGTGTCTTTACCTCAGACTGAAATGTTGTAGCACTGAGGTCATCCTGTTCTGGTAGTTCTGGCTAAAACCGGTTCTCCAGCCATTCTGGCTCCGTTTTTATCCTCACCAACTGATACAAGCATCTAAATCTCACTCCCATTTTTTATTGGTCTGATGTAATATTCTAATCATAAATGTGACACTTTCATCAGCTCTAAACAGAAAATATATCCTTAAAGCATTTGGGGGCTTACACACAGTGTTGTTGAGCTCAGCTGCTGTAAACCAGCATAAAAAACACCTACATAAATAAAACATATACACACATATATTGCTTGATTTGTTGAACTACAGCAGAAGCTCTATCTACTTTTGCCTTCCTTTTGAACGCTGATATAACTCGACGTCTGTGACTCTGATATTGCTGCTGTTTCAACAGTTGTTGACTGGTTTTCATTCACTCACCTGGACTTTTTAATATTTATTTGAGCTGTTCATGTTCTTATGTATACGTTTGAATGTGGATTTTCACTGTTTCACACATTAACATTATTCACACAGGCTCCAGTTTCTTATCTAATGTTTGTTTTAAATGTTCCTTTAAGAAGTTGGACCTCAACACACTTTCTGCAGCCATCAACAGTTTCTATCCCAATACCAGCTGCATGTTTAAAAACTATTCTAATCAGCAGAATTAAAATGAGCGCATTAAAGGACTCAATGTTTGGTGCTTTGTAATCTATTCTAAAAACAGTTTTGGTGTTCTTTGAGGATGCCTGTCCTGTTTCTGCTGTTAATCTTGGAGTTTTGAGAATGTGACTATAAAATAGTTCCCAGACTTATTGTAGACGTTCTTAGATCTTCAGTGACTTTCTTTCACTTTTCAACTTTTCTGGCTGTTAGCCAATCAAATGTGTGCTCTCAAACAAGTTACTACATCTCAACCTGGTCAGGATGGAATATGTTCTACAACCTTCAGCACCACTTAGTAATACATTTAGGTTAATGTACATAAACAGTTCACTTCTCACTTAATGAGGCTTTTCACTGATTGGTTAAAGTGATAAAAGAGGAGGTCTTATCAGCTGACTGCAGATTACACAGAGCAAATTCAGGCAGGAGTTTATTATAAATCACATGCTTGACAGGAAATGAAAGCAAAATCATCAGAGCCTCAGCTGTCTGCAGACAACATCCAAGATCAACAACAATTTTATGTTTTGTTTTCACACCCAGCCAGGCCTTTGTGTGGGATCAGCAGGTGAGTACAGCTATTTGTGTTTAGAAAGTGGCCAAAGGGAACTGAAATGCAGCAAGTATGAAACAATCACCATGCCGTCTTTGTTTTGATTTCTGAAAGCTGGAAGATCTTGCATCATTAAGCTTTGACTTTCACTTCCTGTGGGCTTCTGTCCTTGTTATACAGAAAATACACAGATACAGCAGTAACAAAAAGCTTTTTGCAAATACAATGTGATCACATTGATCTTAACTTGCTGGAAATATTGGAAAGCTGAATCTTAAACAGTGACCCAGAGTGCAGTGCAGTCATCCATAGCTGTTTCTGTTTGCTGCAGCGACATCCTCTTTGTGGTTTTAAACTTTTTTTTACATTTGAAACATATAATCATGACAAATAGAAGAAAAGCGTATGTAAGATGAATTGCACGCATCAGCAAAGCATTGTAAATGCCACAAGGCTTCAGGGTTCACCTGGACTATATAATATTAATATGTTTTAATATCTTTAGGACATTCTTAAAGGCTTGTGTTTGCTGAAACTTGTCAGACATGGCAGCTCAGGATCAGCCACTCTGCTGCATCTGCCTGGATGTGTTCACCCAGCCGGTGGCTCTGCCATGTCAACACTGCTTCTGCTGGACCTGCATCACCAAATACTGGGACAACACTGACAGATGCCAGTGTCCCCTGTGTAACAGGCGCTTCACCAGCAGACCAGAGCTTCAGACCAGCATAGGAATGTCTGGGCTCAGTGATCAGTTGGAGCTGCTGACTCAGCAGACCGCCTGCTGCAGCTCGGAACCACAGCCTGATGCAGGACAGGTTGTGTGTAGCGTCTGCACCGACAAGGCCCAGATGTCCTGTCTGGTGTGTCTCAGCTCCTACTGTGAGACCCATCGGGTGTTCCATCAGATGATCCCAGGCCTGAAGAGACACACTCAGCTGGATCCTGTGGAGGGACAGGAGGACAGAATGTGCATCAAGTATCAAAAAGCTTCAGAGAAACTTATGTGCCGATGTGGCTTTTTTGTGTTGCTTGCATGTTTTATTTTTATAATTGCTGTGTGCTATTTTGTATTTATTTAACTTTATTGTATTTATTGAACTATTTTGGATTCATCTGGGTTTGTTGATTAACTTCTTTTGTGCATATTTTTATGTCCATCATCCAGAAGCTCCTTGCCTCTCTGGAGACAGAAACCTGCCATGATGTTCGTCATTCACTCCAGTTTCTATTATATGGAAAACTGTTAGCCTCCCGTTTTTATGAAAAGTGCTCTTTAATTAAATTTTTAGAAGGCTAGTTTTCTACTCAGCAGATTCAACCACTAGAGGGCAGGATGTTCTTGAGAATCTTTTAAACTATAAATTATGTATAATATGAGTAGCCTTGGGCTGCACAGTGGTGCAGTTGGTAGCGCTGTTGCCTTGCAGCAAGAAGGTCCTGGGTTTGATTCCTGGCCCAGGGTCTTTCTGCATGGAGTTTGCATGTTCTTCCTGTACATGCATGGTTGTTTGTCCTCTCTATCTCTGTGTTGCCCTGTGACAGACTAGTGACCTGTCCAGGCTGACCCCACCTCTCACCCACAATGTTAACTGGAGATAGGCACCAGCAACCCTCCTGACCCCACTAAGGAGCAAGGGTGTTAGAAAATGGATGAATGGAGTAGCCTTGTTTTTCTATTATACTTAAACAATTCTCTAACTGGTTACTGATGTGATCTAGCACCTCACAGCAATAAGAAGCCAAATCAAGAGAAGTACTGTGTTATGTCTGCTCTGAAACCAAATCAAAATCCAGGAAGTGTGTGTACTTCAGGGATAACATTAAAAAAAGGACAGGTTCTCGAGAATCTCGGGGGCAGGAAGAGGAATGGGGCACTTTATGGAGCAATTCCTTACAGACTCTGATCAGCTCCAGCACCTGGCTTGACCCTCAAGCTTGTTCATGTTTTTGCAGCAGTGTCCAAATGGTCGGCCATGTTGGCCAAAATCCTCAAACTGAAAATGTAGAAACTAACTCCGTTGTGAATTCTGAATATAAAGTGCTCAATAAACATTTAGAGTTTTAAATGAAAATAACAATATAGACACATATGTGTTGAGAAGAGATGTGTACATTTATATAGATTTCCAACATTTAACTAGTGTCTAGTGTATTGCCCTATTAATAACAATTACCACATTTCTCATGTTAAATATTTTTTGGGGTTTTTTCTTCTTTTTTGTCCATCTAGAAAAATAAATATTATTCATAATGGATGGCTATGTCCTTCTTTCTTAAGTATATTTGAGTAAAAGTTGCTGCACTTTGGGTTCATTCTTCCTATGAAATTAAAACTAAGGCATAAAATGTGGTTGATAAAAAAAATGAAAAACCACAGATTTAAAATCTTTTGAAGAAATTTTCATCTGACAATGAAAATCTCTTCCTGAAAGATTTTAAAACAGTGTGTTCTTTATTACCACTTCATATAAAGTCTCAATAAATACAATGAAGCTTGTAACCGGAATGAGACAATAAGGGAAAAGATTAAAGTGTCAGGAAATTTGAAGCATTTTTGTTTTAGCTGTAATGCATCATGTAAAATTAAAAAGAAAAATTAAAAATGCGTTTGAGGGAACTCAACTCAGAACTTAGTAAGAACATTAGTGTTTGGCTGATTACTTTTTGTAACAAAGCTTTTTGGTAATATATGTCTTTAATTCATGCCACATTCATAAGGAAAATGGGGCAGTGTTCAAATGAATTGACTGTTTTGACCTTTACATCATGTTATAATGTTGTTCCCTCATCAAAAACACACCTGGAGTGTTGTTTTGATTCTTTCATGCATGTTTGAGAAATCCTCTAATCTCCATGGCAACCATTCAGCTGTTCAAAACGCCTGGATGAAAACTTTGAAGCTGCAGTCCCCAAGTTTCTGAGGTTCCACCTCACGGAGCTCCCAATCCCAATGCCTCAACCCTGGCTAGTCAACTCCTTCAGACTAGCCAGCAGCAACTAGCAAACACCTGGTGAAACTGAAGATGTGCTAAACTCATTATATGATTTGGAGTTGGTCTTGGCTCACTCCAAAAAAGGAGCAGAGTGCTTCTGTCGACATGCTTATATCAGAGATTTTAGATGTTGGCCAACATGATCTCATTCTTGTGTTCTGGCTGATATCAGACCGATTTATGATATTAATATCTAACAGGACAACAATAAAGAAAGCACCAGCTGACAATAAGGTCTATTGTTAAGAGCAGCTCAAAATTAAGATTGAAACTAAGTTTTCAGTGGTAGCATCCCACATACTCTCCTTTGTTGCTGAGAACACATTAGCTTCTCTGATGTGGCATTATATGAGGGGAAATAAACAGGTTTTCCAAAAATATAAGGTTTATTGCCAAGAAGCCCCGTTATAACAGAAATGATCAACCAAGTGCAAATGAAATAACTTTTCTTGCTAAATGTAAAATATAAAAGCATGTAATGACTGTTGTTTATGTTTCTGTGCCCTTCAAACAACACTCTGCACATATTTCTTCCATTTCATCTTTCTATCTTCTTCAGTGGGAGTCTATCAGCCTCCCACAACTCTTACAATGCTCACAATTTCAAAAATGTGGGTAAAACATTTTGTGGTGCTTGCTGTGTCAATAAGACGACTGAAACCTGCCCTGCCTGCGTCAGCGAGGGCAGTGTGCAGTGTTTCCCATCAGAAGCAGGTCAGAGTTCAGCTTCAGGCTCCTGTGGTGTTGTTAGACCTTTAACTAACCCCCCCCCCCTCCCCCCTTCCCTGTCCAACCACCCTAAGTCAAAGGTTGAAAGAGAAGCCCAGGGGGGGGTCAAGAGATGGTGTCTGGAAAAAAATAAGAAAGTTAAAAACCTTTTATGATGTTAATTGGAAGCACAGGGATTGAAGTTCATTGATGTGATTGTAATGTAAAAGGATTAGAATGCTCCACATCAGCAGTAGGGATCAGCAGAAAATCCTCCTGGTCCGCCGTGAGAGAAAGGCTGTGAGGAGACGATGTGTGAAACGGCACGTATGCTGCTCACAGCTGGCAGCCAGGAGGGGGGGGGAGCACAGCCTCTCTTTGTGTGTGTGTGTGTCTAGGATGGGAGTGTGAGCATAAATGTGCTACAGTGTGTAGGCAATACAACAGATACATGCTGGAGGATGTAGGTAACAGGTCATTTAGGATAATCAGTTTAGGTGTCATTAGTATAGATGTGTATGTGGGTGTGTGTGTGTGTGTGACTGGAGTCACGTTTAGCTTTGAGGTGGTGTGTCATCACTGCCACTGGTAGTCATCAGACTACCTCAGCCCAGCTCAGTTTTCGTTCCTCCTGAAGTTTCACAGTCACAGAAAGTGAAGAAAGTCTTTTTGTTTTGAAATATGTGACTAAGAGGTTTGTGAAATAACATTAACTCAAGATGTCTCCGAATTCTGTTTTTGTCTAAAGTCTATTAGCAAAAGAAAAGAAATGTAGAAAACATAAGCAGTGTGAAAATGTTCAAATGAGTGAACCAACTGAACCAACCTTCATTTGGACAAAGTTCAGCTTTCACTTTTATTTTCTGGCCTGAACAGGAAGGACCTTATCTGACTGAACTGAAGTAGCAGTTCAAAAGTTTTCACACCACTTTTCCACAGTACAAACACAACCTGTGTGTAATTAGCACTGTATGAGACAAACTGACACAAAATAAGGAAAGAAAATGCTAAATGTTTAAGAAAAAAAATGTTAAAAGACGAAAAACTAGGAAAATTTAGAATAAATAACGAACAAAAACCTTACAAAAAACATTACAGGGAAAGCAGAGAGCCAGAGGAGAACAGGTTCGGCCCAGGTCCAAAATCCTGGGTTCAAATTCCGTCCTCGGTGCCTTTGCTGCATGTCTTTCCCATCACCCCTGTCTGTTGGGTTGATGTCAAAACTAAAGGTCATTAAAAAAATAAAAAAAATAAAAAGTAGCTGCCATGGTTACATGTAGCTGTTGGGCTTGGGATGCACATGGAGTAGGAGGAAGAGGTACGTTTTTAGACTTTTAATGAAGATTAAAAAATAAACATACAGGTAGGCAAGGAATGAATAACCAGGCATGGTACAAGCGGGTAAACACAGGAAGAAACAGAGAGTGGCAAGAATGAACAGGACAATCCAGGACTGAACTGGAGAAAGTTTAATACGGGAAGATTGATTACTAGAACAGAAACAAGATTATGAAGAGAGAGCAGCTGAGAGGAGAGACCTCAGGCAGACTGAGGAGGAAATGCACAATGATCAAGTTAAAAGTCGGAGAATAAAAAAACTCATCAGAAAACAACAAAGTGAACTAATGAGAAACAGGCTAATCATTAATTTAAAAAATTTAACTCAGAAAAAGTCAAAACATCCCCAGGATATGACAGTAACTTCCACTAAGCCCACAATGCTTTCATTTATTGGTCTGATGGAATATTTTAATCTTAAATGTAATGTTAGCATCAGATGTGAGCAGAAATAGACCTGCACTCTCTGGTACCTCATGAACTTTCTGAAAGTCTAAATTTAGTGAGCATTGTTTCAGTTAGTCGGACTTCACCTGCTGGGATGTGGGGCAGCAGGTCAACGCTGCAGACGTGCAGACCGGTCTGATTTTCTCCAGCCCCAGTTGCCCCAGGGGGATCACTGATCGGAAAGGGAAACTGGTTTTTTGTGCTCGATTCCACCCACACATGTGAGTTTGAAACAGAAACCAGCTCAGGTCTAAACACAGACTCAGGTAGGGTTTCCTAGCAGCCTTTGTGTAAATTACACAGCTGAGGGGATTCTCTGCATGTTCCCGACTATATTCATGTTAATACTTTTCAAACTCGCTTTCTAAATCCTTGCTTGCTTGCTCTTGCTCAAATCAGTTTTATTTCTGTCTCAGCAAGAACTTAGCAAGAGCACATAAAAAAAAGCCGCAGGATGTGATTTCTGACAGCAGAGTCAGAATTTAACCAGGCCAAAGGGCACAAAGGCTTTTGAAAGGTGATGAATAGAAATGAGGATAAGTGTGGATAGTTTTTTTACCTCTCTGTCTACTGTTTCAGACCATTTGAAGAAATGTTTAATTTCACAGATTATGTGTTATTATATCTACTAAAAGATGAAATTCAGGTGTTTTTTGTTTTATTTGACTAAAATTTTGTTTGCCCAGAAACAAACTGGACAATCAGCTTTTGCAGTTTGGGCAAAATTGGAGAAAATCAAAGTGCCAACCTTGCATTAAAGTATCATTATTTACAAAATACTGCAAAGTTAGCACTTTTAATGCACTTTCAAAGCAACTTTTAGAGCAACTTTGCATTAAAAGTGTTATTTACTGAATGACACTTCATGACTCCTTCATGTTTATGACAGGTGTCATGTCAGTCTTATGCACAGCCCGTCAAGTAAAGTGTTACCAGTTTATTTGTAAAGCACATTTCAGCTACAACGTACTTCAAGAT